CAGGTACACAGTGGAGACTTCCCTCACCTATTGGTATATGGTCCCTCAGGTGCTGGCAAGAAAACAAGAATCATGTGCATTTTGAAGGAACTCTATGGCTCTGGTGTTGAGAAGTTGAGAATTGAACAGCATTCTTTTACAGTAAGAACTTGAGAATTAATAGTGTAATGCTAATCTGAGGCCCTCCAGGGGTTTATGGCAACACAGTTCCTTACTCTATCTTGAAAGGTAGCCATGCCTTTGCATCGAAGCGAAATGACTGTTGAGTGTGCAATGATAAAAAAACTTCTTTCACAACTACAGATAATTATTCACAGGGTTCCTATCATTGTACACTAAACCCTCATCTCACTTTGATGCAGAGGCACGGTTATGTTATAAGATTGCAAAGAACCTTGAATGAGACTATTCTGAAAAGTTTCTACTTCTTTCCATAACATCGAATTCTGTGTTCAATTAGACACCATCTAGGAAAAAAGTGGAAATTTCTACAATTGGGAGCACATATCATATTGAAGTGAATCCTAGGTAGGTAAACGAGAGAGAAAAGCTGGAATTGAAATGTTAGGAAAATGGGAATGGAACACCACATAACAGAAAAGAACATATAGGTTTTTAGCAGAACAATCAACACTTATGAGGAAATGAAAATTAGGGAAAAAAGTGCTCAATCCATTGTTTATTTGTTGTTGTTTTTTGTTGGAGAGGGAATACCAACAAGGCTCTGTTTGAAGATAATTTATTTTTCATTATTGCAGTGATGTTGGAATATATGACCGCGTCGTCATCCAGGAATTGCTAAAAACAATGGCACAATCACATCAACTTGAATCCTCACTTCAAAAGGACTTCAAAGGTAAAGATTTATTAATAATGATAATAATAATAATAATAATAATAATAATAATAATAATAATAATAATAATAATAATAATAATAATAATATAGTCCTATTTATATAGCGCTTATCCAATTCTGTTCTAAGCGCTTTAAAACTACATGACAACTACAAAACACATGAGAGTCTTGGTAGACTGTGAGCTTGAGTTGGCACCTCTGGCTGCCGCTGTATAAGATATTTTTACTAGGAGATAATCAGACTAGGTTAATCTTAGATAAACAGCTCACAAATTAAATGAAAGGTATTGTTATTGTGAAATGTAATTTTTATTGCAAATCATTGTTTGTAGAGGGAAATCTTTTGTTGTAGGTTTTTGTGCACTTTTTTCCAAGAGTGACCATGCACAATCTTTTGTTTAAACATTGCTCTAGCCATACTGCTCACATCTGAATAAACATAGCAAAAATTATTATTTTGGGTATTCTTCAAAATGCACAAAACTTTTTAACCAATGTTGAAATATTTTATATCATAATTTCATAGAGAGTGTTTGTATTTACTCATTTTGCAATTTCCATTGTCCGTAAGAAAAAATTAAAAGTTAATTGTGCACGGTTTTGACTGATTCAACCTCAAAATACATACAAAAGATGTACAAAAGAAGTACAACAAAAGGTTTCCAAACCATTCCCTATATTATTAATGAAATGTTCCTAAAATAGTGTTTGACACCCACATACCTCTACACAAACATTTACAAGTTGGTTTTACATATATATAACATCTGTTCATGTACAACTTTTTTTACAGTTGTTGTTCTTACTGAAGTCGACCGYTTGACAAAAGAYGCCCAGCATGCCTTGCGTCGCACAATGGAAAAATACACTTCAACATGTAGGCTRATTTTGTGTTGTAATTCAACAAGTAAAGTAATTCCTGCCATCCGTAGCCGTTGCCTTGGTATCCGTGTTGCTGCTCCATCACTGGATGAGGTGAGGCATTATTGACTGGTGAAGCAATACTTCCTCAAAAGGCTTCATAAAAATATAGCTCACTTCTGCAGACACCTTTGTGGAAGATTTTCAGCAAACTGTATTTATAAATGTGTCTGTAATGGGGGGCAAAGGAGTAAACACCTGAAATATACATGGAATGTTTATAGCAGTGCATGTTTGTTTTTTCAAATGACTATAAAAAATTTAAAGTGCCTATGCACACTGGCCAAATATTGTTTTGATTTAAAGTTTAAGTCCTCAATAACAATTTTTNTATGAGTCTATGAGTCTAACTAGGATTACATGACAAACCCTCAAATTTGGTATAAATCAGTCAGGTTAAAACTTACAATGTGTACACACCTGTTTAAAAGTGCTACTTTTCTGACTTCTAAAGAAATGGACAGGTTACTGGATAGTTGTTCAAAGTTGTGCAGAGCCAAAAATTTTCAAAGTCAAGATTTTTTAAAAGTTGAAAATTATTCAATATCCTAACTTTTGTATTTGACATGCAATTTTGTCTTTCTTTCCATGTTATCTCATCTGACAATCATGCCAGCTTATCAAATTGTACCCTAAAGATAATATCTGTTTGATAATTAATATCAATCCAATGCTTTTATTTMCCAAACAGATAAGTCAAATTCTCCATTTTGTGTGYAAGAAAGAAGGCTTGTCCCTTCCAGGAGAACTTGCCAAACGMATTGCRGAGAAATCTGGAAGAAATCTTAGAAAAGCACTTTTAATGTGTGAAGCATGTAGAGTCCAGCAGTAAGTACATATRTGTGTTTTCATATTTCTGGCTATTTTACTTTTGTTGTAAGTCAAGAGTACTGAACTTTTACAATGGGTTGTCATATTGTAATTTCCTGCTTTCTGATTGGCTTATACATGATTGCATTGTTGACAATATTACTATGACAACTGTCCTTGGACAAGACAGTGATAGGTAGTTAAAAGAAGGCATTTCGTTACAGTATATAAAAATGTGACTGTTGTGGACTACAGTCACCCTGACGAAACAACTGGTACTTCTTCCTTTTCTGTTGAAATTTGTTTTTGTTCAACCACTCCTTTTTAATTAAGGTTTTTGTATATCTGAGTCAAAACTCTGAAAACATTAGTTCAAGATTTTGCATACAGACTTGATGCTCATCTCTTAATCTCTTCATTACTCAAGGTACCCATTTACACCAGACCAATCAATACAAGAAGCTGATTGGGAAATTTACCTCAAAGAAACAGCTAAACAGATTGTAGAAGTACAGACTCCTAAAAGGTAACCTACAGCAAGGACACTGGTGAAAAACGCACTGCGCTTTGAGTGCACACGTCTTGAAATCTATAAACAGAGCGCCTGGCGATTTACAGCGACAACACAGAAAACACTATGAAAAAACTCATTTTCTCAAAATAGAAATAACAAGATAAAAATAGAAACTACATACTAAAAGAACCTATC